AAGGTGGGAAAGGCACAAGATAATCTTCCTTATACCTGGAGCCTTGCGTTACCCAGCGCTCTCGTAGATTGTAAGGAAGCTTTTCCACTATTGGATTAACACCTCTTGCAGTGTCCAAATATGCTAGGCCAGGCAGGAATCCACCAGATTTAGCGGCATCTATCTCCAGTAGCAAGTCACCTAGCTCTCTGAGCTGGTGGATGTCTTTGTTTGAGATGGTTGGAAATGTCTATTCGTTTTAGAAGGGCATTTTCGATCACCTCTGGGCATCCATAACATTCCTCTAAGCGCCGCCATATCATATTGACAACTGCTGTGGGGTTATGAACGTGCACTGACCTTATCCGCTTTGCATGTGCTGCTGACTCCGGTCCAAGCCCTTTGACAAGGAGGTTGAGCTCTTCGTGGTCAGACAGATACAGCTCCCTTGTAACTGCTTGGAATGATGATTTCCATGCCCAGTAATTTTCTGGATGATCATCAAAGGCAAGGAGCCCAGAACTCACCATCTCTTTTCTCACGAGATACTGAGCAAGATCAGGAGTATGAGGAGTTGGAGCTGAGTAGTTATTTGGAACGAATGCTGGAGAGACAGGAAGAGATGCATAGTGTAGGTCCTCAGTGGGTTTGTGCTCATCTGCACCCTTGTGTGGCCAATGTATGCCCTGCTGTCCGTTGTTGTGAGAAGTGAGTTTCTGTGTTTCGACGTCTTGAAACTGTTGGTGAGGGTTTTGTAAAAATGAATGTTTATCAATGTATTCTGTTGTGCGTCTTGCTGGACCCTCCTGAGCTAAATCCTGTAACTCACCAAGATGTCCTTCGTCCAAATCTGCTGCAGCTGCTTCAAATATGGCTGCCTCTTTAGATGCGGCCACAGCTTTACTTTCCAGCTTCAAAACATAAAGGTTTGCCTCCACCTCTGCTTTCTGCCTCATCATGGCTGCCTCCCTTTCTGCGAAGGATAACTTTATTTTTGCTGCTTCGGCTTTAGCTCTTGCCCTTGTCGCTGCAGCACTGGCAGATGACTTGCTTGACCTTGTTGATGACCTGTGACTTGAGGCCCGGGACCTGGTGTCCACAGACCGGAGTTCTTCTTCCTGGTCATTCATCGTACTGCTGTCTGATGAATGAGTCTTTAGGTTGAAGTAGTAGCGTGCTGATCACAGAATTATTTCGCTGCCTTTCCAGCTGAGTAGTGTCTTTTTACTATTCTGCCCTTGCGTATGCATCGCACTGCATAGCTTAACAGATAACAAAGACTCAGAAGACAGTTGTTGAGTTGACCATTTACTGAGGCTTGAAATTGTAAAACTGCAAGAATAAACAGAAAAATACAACACAAGTTACACAATTGAAATAATACATGTGCAACATAATGCAAATAGAGTGCAGTATAATCAACAGCCTATGCTAAGAATGAGCTATGTCCGTTAGCTTAGCAGCAAGTTAGCTTAGCTTATCTTACACATTGAAACCAGACAATCAATTAAACCACATTTTTGAAACACATAACTTGGCACACAGGTAAGTTTGTATACTTACAGACAGATCTACTCCACGGATTAAAACAAAAATGATCTGTGGCATAGAACTGAGCTACGATGTGCTCTGCATGGCTTTGCTGTGTAAACACAAGGAGAGTCGCGCTATTTGGTGCCTTAACGCTACAGTACCGACGTTTGCCACTAGGTGGTGCCAATACACTATGGTGTCCGAACAATTTGACTTACTGTGTTGAAGGAGAAATGGTTGGAAACTGTTTCCAACCCCATCAAGGCTGCACAATCCCAACCAACGTTTGACCAGTTTTAGGTTTTGTTTCTTGAATACAGATGTGAATAGATGTGTTGTTGGTGATAGTGACTTTAACTGTGTCTGCATTGGTTTTGAAATACAAAAATACAAATTAAACCGCAGCTTGTCGCTGGGATAGATTTTCACCACTGAGTTAAACAATTTGACCTAAAGATGACTTCATTTCTGGTTAATTGGTTTAATGTAATCTATATTCACGCTGGCAGGGTTAACTGGGAAACATGATTAAACATTTATTAATGACACAATAATACAAACAGCTGCATTGCATTATGCATAAAGTGTGTGTGTGTGTGACGTATATACATATTTATATACACATATTTGATATATATCTGTCTGATTTACAAGTAGTAGAATTATTATTATTATTTTTTTAAATGCACCCTATATATCTGAGGAGCATCCTTGTTAGTCTAATATTTGATGTCAACACCAAAAGCTAACATCCCGATTAGTTTATATAAAAAAGTAAAAAATGACAAGCTTTTTCTCCAAGTTAGCCTGAATTAAGAGAATACACTAGGCAAAAGTAAAGTTTAATTAATAATTAATTCTAAAAACATTTATTTGCGGTAGACTGAGACCAGAACCAAAGATAAAGCTTCAAGATGTTGTCATATTGATTAATAACAATTAACAATTTCTAAAATATCCATCATATAAATTGGCCTAATAACATGTATTCTTGAAATTGAAGGATATTATATTGCTTGGTAGGTCGGTGTCACTCGAAGAAATGCACCTTCAGGGTAAGAAAGTCCTTATAGTAGTGATAGGCCTTATATGTGTCAATAATTCCCAAACAAAACCTTGTTGTGTCTCTTCCCAGCTTTAATACTCCGTCCTGTAGCGTCTGACCTCCTGAGACCTCAGCATGAAGTCCAAATGATAATCCTCCTCATCGTCATGACTAGCCTTAATCCTATAATAAATCAAATGTATACGATGATATACATACTGTTCCTACAAGCATGCATTTAGACAAATGTGTACGTAGCATATTAGCATGTGTGCGATACATTTAGCTGCAGTGTTGATGTGAAATATGAATATGATGGATGGAGCCGTGTGCAGGTTAGACATCTGTAGTAAACAGATTGGACTGCAATGGCTGATCAATGGGCTCTGTTCCACTGTAATTAGACACACAGCGCCACTGCTTGGCTCCAGCCACTTCAGCATAATCACAACCCCCCCTAAACACACACACCACACACACAAGTAGAACTAAAGAGAGAAAAAGAAATCTGTCCTTAAATGCATCAACACACACGCAGCGTGAGAGTGAGACATTATTGAAGGAGAGTATGAAAGTATCAGACAATAGCATATATCGGCAGCAGGTGTAGACCCCACAGGGACGGCATCTTTCTCGCTCCAATTTGCTTTTTATTGAGACAGTAGGGAAGCTGAGAGGGACACACAGTCTGTTCTGGCAGGATTCGATCCTCAGCCAGCAGGGGAACATGTGGCTGCAGAGGTGGTGCCTTAACCTTCCTCACACACACACACACACACACACACACACACACACAACACACACACAACACCCACACACACCACACACACACACACACAACACACACACACACACCACACACACACACACACACACACACCACACACACACACACACACAACACACACACACACACACACACACACACACAGAGCGCACACACACACACAGCGCACACACACACACACACAGAGCGCACACACACACCAACACACACACAGAGCGCACCACACACACACAACACACACACACACACACACACCACACACACACACACACACACACACACACACACACACACACACACACACACACACACACACCCTCGTTCACCATCTCTGGGCGCCGATTCTCTGTTTTTACCCTGCACCTGTCTGCTGCTTTCCACCCGTGTCCTACGAATACTTTGAGTTACAACACTTACCCACAATACAGCGCTCTATTAACTATTCATTTCTGTGTTTTCTGGCTACATCCTCACCACAAGCCCCCCCCCCCGTCTCCCAAACGTCAAGCAGTATACACTCGCTGTGTTTTCTTTTGAAAATTGCTCTGTGTATGGGAAGGGTCTCATAGCAGCCGGTGCATGCACCTCTCGAGTGTTTGTGTTTGGAGAGGGAGGGGTGGGTGGGTTATAAATACCCTCTCAGAGCTCAATAGAGTGGGCTCCAGTGGGCTCTGTTTGAAGTAGCAGACTGTAGACCTGCTGGGGGGGATTCTGACCTCAGTCCCTACAGAGAACCCCCCAATTCCTACAGCAAAGTCGGTCAATATCTCTCTTTCTCCTTCACTCGCCGCCCCTCCTTCCTTTCCTCAGCTCCTCTCTTTGGCTCTTATATACACACACACACAAATGCACACACACACTTTGTCTTACTCCTCCACCTTTTTATGTTCTTTTCTCTCCAATCTTTTCTTTGGCAGCCCCTCCTCTATCTCTGATTTCCACACACACACACACACACACACACACACACACACACACACACACACACACACACACACACACACACACACACACACACACACACACACACACACACACACACACACACACACACACACACACACACACACACACACACACACACACACACACACACACACACACACACACACACACACACACACACACACACACACACACACACACACACACACACACACACACACACACACACACACACACACACAATGCTTACTTTTGTGCAACAGTCACTCAGTCCCCCATTGCGACTCAAACTGCATTAATATTGAATCAAACAGCAGTGTCTCCAGCTAGCAGGCAACAGTCAGGCGTCCCCCCCCCCTTCCTCCTCCTCACCCCATCTTTCTCTCACCGCAGGCTGGCTCCCTGTCTGCACTCTGCAGGATGGAAGGAATATTCCCACTGGGCAGGAGGCATGGATTAGCTTTAAATCAACTTTAATATGGCAATAGAGATGGAGCTGTAGAATCTGTGCTGGTGTATAAACTAGTTGTGTATGTGTTTAAGTATTGGCTAATGCTACATGTAGTTACTTTACATCCCTCCACATTCTGTCTTTGCTGTTCAATCTGAAAAATAATCACTTTTGTATATTTACCTTGCTTTGTGTTTTCTTTCTCCTCTTTGCCTCTCACTCTCATCCCCATCCCTCCCACCGCTGCCATCCACACCAAGCCTGCAAGCGCAAAGAACAGGAGCAACACAAGGACCGCAACACGGCGCCCAAGAAGCAGCGCCTCGTCTTCACTGACCTGCAGCGCCGCACACTCATCGCCATATTCAAGGAGAACAAGCGTCCATCCAAAGAGATGCAGATCACCATCTCCCAGCAGCTCGGCCTGGAGCTCAGCACCGTCAGCAACTTCTTTATGAACGCACGGCGCCGCTGCGTGGACCGCTGGCACGACGACCATGGTGCCAGCCCCGGGCAGCCGGGCACCTCCGCCACCACCTTCTCCAAGGCCTGAGAGGAGGGGAGGACCTTCAGAGGGCCGGGGAACCAGGTTGGAGCAGCATGCAACATGGAAGACTGGCTGTGAAACCTGTGTATGACAACCCTTCCTGGCCAGGACCGTCTGAATGTGTCCTCACACCAAAAGAAATCCTTTGTGCCATGCAATCATCTTTTTTGTCAGTCAGAATTTCAAGCTCTCACCTGAAACAAGAATAATCTAAAAAAAGGTGAATTGTGAAGTCAGGTCCACTCTGCGTAACTCAGATAAAGGACAATCATTGATTCTGTCTTTTTTGAAAGAAAATAATTTTTATGGCATCTGACAAAGTAAAGAGACACCAAAGATTTGATGTATTTATTGGACATTATCAGACACTTTGCCGGCCTCCATCACCACACAAGTAGCCACTGATTCTGCTTTTTCTCCCAACTCACCTCCTTTCAGTTTGCCTCTCTCTCATCTCCTCTATGCCGGCACACGGAAGCAACGAGGGCAAAAGAACGGCAATAAATCTGACAACAGAACAGCACATAGCCTTATTATCCAAGCCCCATCCCGCACACACAAGGCCGTCATAAAGAAAACAACGCAGCCTATGAAAAAAACAACAAGGCTTTCCAATTCTCCACCTCTACCTCCCCCTTCCTCCTGTTGTCTCCTTCATTCCTCAGCCAAAGGTATTCCCTTATGGCCAGCCATTTCAGAGAGCAGCTCAGCCTGATCATACGGCAAACTAATGAATTGAAAAATGAATCGATGTAGACAGAGAGAGCGGGGCCTTGACCCCTCCTGAAGGTGAAACTCAAGATGCTCAGCGGTAGAGATACTCAGGTCTTCCAGGCCCAGGTCTATATTTTTTGCACAGATGTTGGAAGACCTGTAGGGAGACATGTGTTACGCCTGAGCATAGAGTCTGTGTTTCTCTGACCAACAGGAGAGGCGGGTGAGATGTCTGGACATGTTCTTTGTTCTGTTGGGAGCTTTTTTCTCTGATCAATAACTGAGAACCGAGCGACAACAACACGCTCGGGCATCCAGCCAACTACATTACAGCTGCATATGAAAAGCAGGATGTAAGAGGAGCACATGGAACCCACTGGAGATGGGGACACAAAGGCCTCATAACAGCAGCAGCAGCACATCTCCCTCCCAGATCAACCCGGTTTCTGCAGAGCAACAGTGCCCCCTGCTGCCGATAGCAGACACCTGCATCCAGCAGAGCGATGGGGCTCCGAGCGGAGGAGAGGGAGGGAAGAAGCCACTAGATGCTGAGGGGAAGTCATGGCACAACACATTCAGGCCCTCGCAGCTCTTTGAAGGCAGATCAATAGCTAACCATTATCCTATTGTTGTTCCTCATCCAACCAGCACTGGTGAAGCCGGAGGAGGGGGATGGTTCAACTGAATGCTGGAAACGCAGGGATTTAGCAAAGGCAGGGATTTATTTAGCCAATCCAAATCAAGATCCAAAAAAATCGGAGAAATCACAACAGAGTAAAAAGTAACAGAAAGGCTGACTGAGAGCGACACATTTGAAGTGTAGCGGAGGTTTAATTTACATTCTTTTTTGGGAGGCTTCATTTGTCAAATCATTCTTCCATCCCATCTGTTTGCAAAGAAAAGGTCACAAAAGATGTGACTCAAACCAAATCTCCTGGTTATTCCCACACAAGGGTTATCAGTAGCTAACCCAAAGCTAACCACCACACTCAGCTGTCAAAATGCTACAATAATTAGTGCCAATGCTTACTGCCTTAATGCGAATCAGAGAATATGGTACTAGGGTTCACACACAGCTACAGTGCGCCCCACTGATGACGGGCGGTGTGGGCCATAGCAACCAACAATCAGCTTTTATCTGAATTAAAATATACTTTTTTAGTAAAAAAAAGAAAAAAAAAGAATCAGATGTTAAGGCATACAATAACCAAACCTCAAATGACAAAGATACCATACATACAGTATGTGTTACAAATACAAATGTCTCCAAAGCATAACTGGACACATTTTGAAGCAGAAGAAAAAAATCTCTCATTCTATCTTTGGTTCTCTACCTCCTCTGTCCCTCTAACCCCATTGCCCCCCCCCTCTTTCTCTCTTCCTCTCTATATTGATGCGGGTATTTAATTAGTTCCATAGACACACAGTTTCTATTTCTTGTTACTATTGTGCTCTGTTGTGCATAAGTAAGGCACCTTGTTGCTAAATCAAAAACAAAAAAGGAAGGACTTTTTAAAAGGATAAAAAAAGGAGGGATGCAAGGACAGAGGCCGATGAAGGACGTCTTTTTTCTTTTTTTTGCATTCTATGTGAATATAGACTCGAAGGAGACATTTACCGTGAGAAAGAGGAGAAAAAGAAAAACAGGGAGCTGCTGAAGAGACGAATAAACGACGGACGCTCTCTCTCTTTTGGCATTTCGTGTCAGAACTGTGTTACTCTCAGCCCCCTTTAAGCTGAGCCCAAGGAACGGGGCAAACTGGAGGGGGACAAATCATGACCTCCAAATGTCTCGGCTGTTTTATCCGAGGGCGGGGGCAATGCTCGGGACTCAATTGTTATCTGTATGGTCTTAAGATGCAACTGTAGCATTTCCAACAATGTAGTCCGATTTGCGGTGCAGATTAGATAAAAAGATGGTCATTGTAGAGGAGCTGAGTGAGAGACTGACAAACTTCACGTTGCTGTAAGCAGTGAGTTGACGTCGCCAAAGGATGATGAGCTGAAATTGATTTGTGGTATACAGTTCAGTGAGCATAGGTGAATAGCTAGATTCAGCTCTAGGTATTAGGCTGAGAAAATGACATGTGTTTGTAGTGAGAACCAATGTGGCTACCTCACTAAGCTGAGTGGTTTGTGAAACCGCCACTAATACCAAAGATACTGCAGCCTACCGGTCCCAAACTGCCTAGGGGGAAACCAAACCAAAAAAAAAGAAAAGCCCCCCCTCTTTGCCCAAAAATATTACAGACTGATATCTCACACACACACACACACACACACACACACACACACATTCATACATACAGTGCAGTCGGACTGCATGGTGCCACGTGGAGGAGGTGGCCGCCATGCAGACAGAGTTGAGTGCCTTTTCCCTTCAACCACGGGTGGGACTGCACTGGACACACACACACACACACAGCCATGTGGGTCCATGCATATAGCTGCACACCCTTTTACAAACATGCACTCACATTCAGACAACGCACCCATAATTGGATGGACAGAAAAGGGGGGCCAGAGAGGGGGACACAGAGTGGGGGCTGTGTCAGCATTTTCTCCCATATTGACTTTCCATCTTGATACACTAGAATACAAGCACTTTATCATGTAGAAAGTCTATAAAACATTTTCTATACACTATTTATTTGAAACAAAAGTATATGTTGCTCCTTAATCTGTCAGTCTTTCTTAGTGTTTCTTCTAGTAGCTCACCGCCTTCATGTTTTGTTTTATTCCCGCCCGGCGTGATTAGATTCTCGGCCACTTTACCTTTCTCGCATCAGAGATATTTTTGTGAAACAGAGAAAGAGGAAGGTAAAAAGGCCGAGGCTCTGAGCACTCGCAGGGCTGTCGTTTTTAAATCTTACCACTTAATGTCTCTCTCCACTGCGTGCAAGCACAGAGGCTGCACTATAAAAGTGTGGAAGACTCACTGACAGTGTAAAGACACAAATTCTCTCTCCTCCCTCCACACTGTCTGTCCAGTCGACCTCTCCCCCTGGCTAGTACTAAGACCCGGTAGGCATGTGTTGACAATTAATTCTGAAATACCTCAAAAACCTTTCATGTAAACTTTATGTAATTTAGATTGAAAATAATACTGCTAATGATAACAATGATTATGAAACTATGATACTATGATAGTTAGTTTTGGAACTTGTGACTTGAAGCTTTATACTGTTAAATTCCTTTTTATTTGTTTGCTCATTTTTCTCGTACGTTTCTCTCGTTTGTTTTTGCTACGGCATGTACTTACTGTTTTTCATAAAGGAAAAAGACATTGTGAATGTTTCTGTGAAGGGTTACATGAGAAAAGAAGAGACAGAAGAGAAAGCTAGAATAGAGAGGGAGGAGCAAGAGCGCAACTCACTTTAGATGTTTAGTTCAAAGCTCTGTCCAAGGCGGGTATGTTTAAAGGAAAATAACAAAACCAAGAAAAAAAAAAAAGGACAAAAATATGATTTGGGCTGAAGTCTTTACCAAAAATGTGATGTTAAACCAAAGGAGGAATAACCTTTTACTCATTGTTAGCTTTCTTCTGCCTTTAATTTGTCTTTTCTCTGAAAAAAAACTATTTCACAGTTACTTTTGAAGGTTCCTGGGTGTGTTCAAGTGCTCCTGATGTTCTTAGAATATTAAAAACCAGCACCTCCTATTGAAAAGAAGGTGCGCTTTTTTCTTTTGTGCATGGATATTGTATAACTGTATAGAAACCAACAGGAATGACCTGTGATTTTGTGGGGAGAGGAGGAGAATGGAAAGACTTGGGAGTGGGTGGAGAAGGGGAGGGTGATATTTTGGTTATCAAAACAAAAAAAAGGGGTGGGAGGATTTGGGTTTTAGGCGTTGGAGGGGTCCTTGTTTTTAGAATTTCCGTCACTGTTGGATTCACTGGTTGTGTGCATGTGTTGTTGCAACCCTTTCCCCATGTTTTTTTGATGTATATAAATCCAGACAGTAGGGGGCAGTGTGTGCTGGGGGAGGTCAAACTCCTCTCCTCCCAATCAATAGCATTCAATCTTCATTCCTCAGCTTGTGGTCCTCACTCGGGTCCTGAAATGTGTGTCTTGCTTTTCCAAAGACGGGCTGTTTACTTGGAGTTAATCAGAGGGACACACACAGGCCCGAGCGGCCTTGAATAACCTGTATGTCTGTCTACATGCTTTTCTTCAATCTGTGAATGTGTGTTCATTTGTACCGATGTGGAAGACAAAGTGTTTCTTTTTTATGTTCCTTTCCTATGGGTTGCAATATTTGTCATGCGAAAATTTGAAAACCATTTCTTACTGACTGACCGACCAACCAACCAACCGCAGTACCATTTGGCAACTGATGATCCGACCCGAAATGTCGCCCATCATTTACTGTCAAACAGCATATGTGTGTGTCGTTTCACCGTGGGATCGAGTGTTGCCAATGGGACTGATGTAGACACCCCCAGTCACACTGTGCTCTCCCTCTTCTGTTACCTGTTAATCAATCAGAACCAAGTGTCTTTGTGATGGTAGAAGACAATCAGTTTCAAAACAAGAAAAAAGGTAGAGAGGGCAGGCCAGTGGGGAGGAGGAAGGGGAGGACGGAAGAATGAAATCAAGGGAAAAGAGGCTCTCTGAATCCTGACGAGCTGTAGTGGCCGACTGCCAAACGACTGCCCCATCGCACCCGCAAAACATCCACCTTCCATCACATCAAACTCGACCTAACTCAAAACTCATTCGACATTTTGGAATTCACTCCCTCCTCATCCCCTGTCACTTTTCACACTCCTGCCACAATGTAGTGCACTGCAGGAGTAGAGAACAACAGCTGTGGTGCAGAGGCACACTTCCATCACCCGCCACGACTTCCTGCTAATCTAATGATGATGTAATCAGCCGCGAGGAATACAAATGGCTCCGGTTGGTGGCTTTTGCACAGAGAACTATGCAAACACCTGACCCCCCCAATCTTAATCGTTGCTGCTGGGTCAGAGTGTACAACCCCTCCCCTTGACATTTCAACACTCCCCCTCACACTTTGACCTCCATAACGCCCATTCCACCACACTGATTTCACACAGCTTTACATAAATGCCCCAAACTGCCATTAACATCAAAATGGAGTCCATGTTGATGTTTGCAAGCTCCCCCGCTCATGGCTCCATTGTTCTACAATGTTCGACTGTCTTTGTCCCCAGCGCCAAGGAAGGGCCACAATCAATGCAAAGACACTTACATTGTACTTACTTAAGTTTACAAAGTCGTCTGGAGACGGTGGCTTATATTGCACTCAGAGCGACAGACACACAAACAGACACATGATGGAGAGGGTGAGTCTGCCTTTTGAGAGTGTTTGCTGAAACCAAAGATTAAATCAGAGGTATGACAATCTGGCTATCAAACCTAGACAATGTTCAGCTGTACGGGTCCTGTGATTTACAGGCAACAAGGACATTCCAACACACACACACACACACACACACACACACACACACACACACACACACACACACACACACACACACACACACACACACACACACACACACACACACACACACACACACACACACACACACACACACACACACCACACACACACACACACACACACACACACACACACACACACACACACACACACACACACACACACACACACACACACACACACACACACCGTCTGGTCAGAAAGCCTCTTTTCCCTCCTCCCACTGCAGAAGCCGGAGAGCCTGTGGAGGACTTTTAGTTTCACTCTAGCTGAGACTTTTGTGAAGGAAAAAAATCTGAGTAATAACTGTTACAGAAAAATAAAAACTTAAAAGGATAATATGGGTAAAAATTGCGTGTTTTGAAATAAATTAACAAATAAAAACAATTGTAAAACAAAAGCAGTGCTGTCGGTTTATTGTGTTTGGTTTGATCTTCAAAGGAAGTCCCCTGTGACCCCCGCGGATGGAAATGAGATTTTGACCACAACAATAACAAAGAGGAGATATTCATGCAGAGATAAACTGTCTAGTAAAGACAATAAACAAAATGTATTTTACATAATGTATTTTGTATATTAAATTGTTTACTTTATTGCACAATTATAGCTTTACAAAAGATCAGTGCAGGCTCTACAGAGTTGCCTGTTTTAAGTAGAAAACACATAATCTTTTCAATAATATGTTGCACTAAGAATATATATGATCCAATATTGTCCTATATCAAAACCCTAAATGTACCATTGTCAGTATTCATGTGTGATTTGGTGCATCAATGTTGTTCTTCATGTTGATCTGGAGCTGTGAGTCAGTGGAGTTATTATCTGCGGTCACCTGCTCATCCACCGTCGGCACGGTGCTGCGGATGCAGGTTCCTGAAGAGATGAGGCGCCCGGGCCCGGCCCCCTGGGAGAGGGCGTACGACGAGCGGCGGAGAGACGCTCCTCTTCTCAACCTCGACCTCAGCTCCATCGGCTGAGAGGACGCACTGTGGACCTGCAGCACAGCCAGGTGAGAGAGACATCAGTCAACATTCAGCTTTACAACTGCTTCTGCTTTGTGTTTATAAGGAATCAATACCTAGGCGAATGGCAAACTACTCACCCCATCGCATATATAAGACGCTAAGATTGGTAGCACGCTTACAGGTCCAAAATAACATAAAATGAGAACCAGATTTAAATCATATCGAATTGGTCCTCAAGTCAAGCAGATATAGTTTTAAACTTGCTGTTAACTTGTCTTGTTAAAAAACAGTAGGATGGACACAACTATAAAAATAATCACTGAGCAAAATATTACATAACCATTATTATAAACTAGTCTCAACGCTTTATTTTATACCATATTGTTAAGAAATAAATCACAAGAAACTAGAATAAAAAAGATGAATGAATAAAAGACGGATGTACAGGAGCTTAATTGCTGTGTGCTTTGACATCATATCAATTGGATAATTTTTGCATTGCATCCTTGTTTCTAAATTACATTTTTTCTTTTCATGCAGTCTTACCTTGTGTTTGTCGTGCATGTTGAGGATGACATTGATAGCCAGAGCGGTCATTGAGGGTAAAACAGCCGTCCAGGTGGTGAGCAGAGCTGTGAGCCACACCAGTGGATCAATGAAGGCCCTATCAGACGCTCCTGATGAAAAGCACACACAGAGCAATCAAACCAGCTCACAGGGGTGGTTACACATCATCAGATCAACATTTTACTATAATAGCATTTTTAACTGTGTTTGGATATTTGTTTTGTCCAACAATTGTTTTTATATTATTTGACCCTGTGACGAAGGTAACTTCGTCACTGTGAACTGACGGCTTCGGGCCTGGTAACTCAGCACTTTAGTGAACAGTTTTGCACTTTATTAGCGTGATTGCACAGTACCGTTTGGTATGGCATATTTTAAATACTAATTATTGAGATAGTATTTATTAAAGGATAGTGTGCACCTGGTGTCCTGTGTTGTCTCCTCCCCCCTCACCTGTGTCTAGTTGCTGATTAGTGTGTGTGGGTATTTAGGCTCCGTTTCCCTGTCTGTTAGAAAAAGGGAGTGTGTGTGTGAGATCCTGGTGGCTGCAGGCTGGGCTCACGTGAACAGCAGCAGCAGGATTGAGGCTGTGTGTAATGTGTTCATATTTTAATAAATGCCCACGTTGGGTTATATTTTTGGACGTTCTGCCTCTGCCTCCTTGCTTGGTCTGGGCCGCTCAACGGTCAGCTTCACAATTGGTGGCAGTGGTGGGATTCGACCAAGCGAGGAGGTGAAAATGACGAGAGGAAAGAAGAGGGACCAAAGAGAGGAACCGCGGCTGGGGGTGGCTATGCCTGGAACTGACCAGGGGGCCACGGCTGCTGAGGCAGCGGGAGACGAGACACAAGCAGCGGGAGACGCGAGACAGGCAGGAGGAGACGGGAGACAGGCAGGAGGAGCAGCGTTTGCGGGCCGAGGAGGCGGACCCGGACCCAGGAGGAGTCGACAGAACCTGGGTCGTGCTGGAGGCAGACCAACGCCTTGCAACAGGCCAGGACAGCTTCCGGATAGGTGGCAGCGCGACATGTTTGACAACGGCTTCACTGGCCCCGCTGGAGGTGGCGGCGTTGAAAGCGGGTGGCTGACTGGTTGTCCCGAAGCCGAGACTTTTAAGACACTGTGCTTCCTGGGGAGAGGGGTAAGGAAATGTGACGAAGGTAACTTCGTCACTGTGAACTGATGGCTTCGGGCCTGGTAACTCAGCACTTTAGTGAACAGTTTTGCACTTTATTAGCGTGATTGCACAGTACCGTTTGGTATGGCATATTTGCACATTTTAAATACTAATTATTGAGATAGTATTTATTAAAGGATTGTGTGCACCTGGTGCCCTGTGTTGTCTCCTCCCCCCTCACCTGTGTCTAGTTGCTGATTAGTGTGTGTGGGTATTTAGGCTCTGTTTCCCTGTCTGTTAGAAAAAGGGAGTGTGTGTGTGAGATCCTGGTGGCTGCAGGCTGGGCTCACGTGAACAGCAGCAGCAGGATTGAGGCTGTGTGTAATGTGTTCATATTTTAATAAATGCCCACGTTGGGTTATATTTTTGGACGTTCTGCCTCTGCCTCCTTGCTTGGTCTGGGCCGCTCAACGGTCAGCTTCACAATTGGTGGCAGTGGTGGGATTCGACCAAGCGAGGAGGTGAAAATGACGAGAGGAAAGAAGAGGGACCAAAGAGAGGAACC